AGGATCAGATTGCCCTCTACCAGAGCTGTACTGATGTACACTCCCAGTAGCAGCAGGTGCTGCTGCCTGCTTCTCCACTGCCATGGCGACATCATGTATTGGCAATATTTTCATCTTTGTCAGTCTGGCGGGATATCTTTCTGTTGCTTTAATTGGCATTTCCCTATCTAAGTGAAGTCTACTATGTTTTCACATATTTATTTTTCTTTTTCTGTAAATTGCCTGTTCATAATCATTGCTCATTTTTCTCTTGGGTTGTTTTCTTATTCAAAAGAGCTTTCATATATTAAGTAAATATGCTTTCTTTGGGGGTGGTGGTGCAGATATTTTTCCTAGTCTGTAATTTGCCTTTGATTTTGTATATAGTATTTTAGGCTACATAGATATTTTAACTTTTTATGTAGTTATGTACATCAACATGCTTCTTATTTATTCAAGGTTTTATATTTTATTTGGAAAGGAATTTTTCACTCCAAGATAAATTTTAATGCTCATATTTTTTCAAAATATCTTTTTTTTTCTTTTATTCTGTGTATGTGTGTTGTATAAGAAATGAAAGATTCAGGTTTTTTCCTTTCCAAATGGCCTAATCAGTTGTCCCATTTCTGTTCAATAAAATTTAGCATTCATTCACTGATTTGAAATGCCATCCTAGTCATTTTGCATTTGTACTTGTGTCTTAGGACTTGGCATTTGTATCTGGGTCTTAAAATTTGAGTTTGTATTTAGGTATATTTCTGTATTCGATTTTGTTCAGTGGTCTATCTTTTCCAAATTGTATTGCTATTTCTAATTTTTTATTTTTAATGTACTATTAAAATGTGATATATGTATTTATAATTCACTTTAATATCTTGTCCAGCTAATCTTCACTCATTACCCTACTTCTTTAGAATTTTCATGACAATTCTCACGTGATTCTTTTTCTACAGGAACTTAGAATAGCTAATCTAGTTCTCCCCCAACTCCCAGAAAATCCTACTGGGTTTTTAATGAGATCACATTAAATTCATAGATTAAATTAAAGAAAATTACTCTCTTTCCATATATTTATTTTTTTAAGTAGCTTAGTATAATTTTAAAGTTTTTTTTTAAATTAAATGTGCCTATTTTTATTAAATCTGTTCCTTCCATTTGCTGTTGTTGTTACTGTTGTTTTGCTGCTGTTGCTATTATAAATGGACTCTTTCCTTCCATTAAATTCTAATTGGTTATGATTTACATATAAGAAATTTATTACTTTTTATATTAATTTTAAAATGGATATAATTAATTTTAATCATTTTTAATTTTCTTCAGATTATTTTAAATCCAATCATTAGCCTCTGGTATCTTTTAGAAATTAACTGGTCAAGATGCAGCTCTCTCATTTTTAATCAATAGCTTGATAGACCCCATAGTTGTCTATGGGAGAAAAGAAATTAAGTGTAATAGGTGCTGTGTGAAATGTTCCGCCAAAGAAGAATTAAAATAGAATGTGCACTCAGTTTGTTGATATCACAACTGTGAAAAGAAATCATTTGACCCAGTTTGTGCGAGGAGTAGTCAATGCTGGAATTCTTATAACATTGGGATGTGGTTAAATACCATTGTCAAAAGTTTCCTTCCCTACTCTTCTATTTTGAAAGCAATGGACAGCATTTTGGTGCAAGCTATTTATAGGTTAGCTATTGAAAATTTTAAATAGTAAGCATCTCACACTGTCACTAGAGAAACAAAATAACTAGTTTTGAGAAAATTAGGTATTTTAAGAGAGATGATAGTGACAAAAGTTGAAATCAAGAAAACAACCTTTCCCCAGCGTATGTGAGGCTACAACAGAACCAACATGGTCTTTATTTGATATTGTGCTCTTGGTAGCTTCAAAATGTTGGTCTTTCGAGTATTAACAGCTGAGTCTTATGGCTATGTCTGAGGGCCGGAGAAGGGTTATTGAACCTTAGCATATGGAGTCAAGTATAAAAAGGAATCAAGGACAAACCAAGCACTCAACCTAAAGAATGCTGGTGGTAAACCAGAAGATTCTCTACCTGAATCACAAACTTAATTAAGGGGATAATGGATGGAGAAGATAGGTGATTATCATCTGAGAGGAAATGAACATTTCCGACCACAGCCAAAAGCTCTGTTGTGATGGCAGCAGATTTACATGTTGCTGCAAAAACTTTCTGCCAAAGCCAAGAACATAAGTTGCATTGAATACAATCCCCAAGCTTGTTTGTAAACTCTGATGTGACACATTCACTAGGCAAAAAAAAATGAAGACCAACGCTATGGTGCTCAAAAGGAAGGTGGTGGGGAGGAGTTTGTGTCCAGATGTGGTGAAGATGGAAAGAGTCTAGAAACTAAGGCTGGGTATGTGGGTGTAGACATTGTAACAGCATGACTCAGGGCTCCATGGATCCCAATGTAGTCACGACTAGGACAATCAGATGGGCTCAGTCTTTTGGTTCTGACTCTTATCTTACAGAGAGTGACAGCTGTATCAGAGTTGAAAACCTTGCCACACCAAAGAGATAAATGTCAGCCTCATTGGTATGCCCTCAAAGAGTTGAATAAAGACTTGTGGGTTGGATTTACAGGGATATAGGCACACAGCTCAAGACAGAGAAGACTCCTCTGTTTGTATGTTAGGAGAAAGAGAGCTCACCATCACTACAAGTGACCAGGCATGAGATGGGGACTATTTGCTGGATGTGCTGCAGAAAATCCTCACTCATCAAAACTGTATCTGAACTTTCCAACCTTTAAGAAATCTTTCAAAACTGAGATTCAGTGATTTAAAATATATATATATATATATATATATATATATATATATTTGTAGTTGTAAATGATTATCAAAATAATAATTATTACTATTGTTATACTTAAACTTTTTGAGTCTTTACTATATACCAGGCTTTGTGTTGAGCTCTTTATATGCACTCTTTCTATGAGGTAGTTACCATCATTTTTCATTTTACAATAAGCAAACCAAGTCTAAAGGAGATTGAGAATGTCTCTAAGGTCTGCCATACAGATAGTAAACTGCAGAGCTGGGATTCAAAGACTGTTTGGCTGACTGCAACACTACCAGCCTATACTTAACTTCTACTTTTTTTCTTTTTTTTTTACGAAAGTGTAAAATTTATAACAGATTGTTAGTGTCAGAACACTGTCTAGCTGAATGAAAAAGTTTTTTCTTTTTAATTTTTATTTATTTTTTTGTTTGCTCTACAGAATATTGAGTTAGACTCAGAGACAAAGTTAGTGATCACAGATTTCAAAGCTTAAAATAGTAAACTGGAGTGTTGTGAGACCCTAAGCCATAATGAACTCACAGAAACATTTATAGGAGTCATCAGCAACTTAACATTCAGACTCCCGACTGCAGCTATCAAAGGGCGGTACAGACTTCATGTTGACTCATTCTTTTTTCCAATTCAACAATTATTTATGAACTTCAAAATTACGTTAGTGTGCAACGGGGTACATACAGAATGCATTTCAAGTAAAACACAGACGTCCATCAGAGGTGTTGATGCAACCCGCTGTTTCCCTCAAAACTAAATTCACATTTAGGATTTTCAAATGACATATTTTTTCTAAAACTTTATCTTATTTATTCTTGATAAAGTTAAAACACTTAGTGATTGCCATCTTAATATTTCAAATAAGTACAAGCTATTAATTTTGGCACTAATTTCACTATTACAGTAAAGTTGCCTTTTTACCATTGAAATGAATTACTAGGATACTCAAAAACAAACCAAACTCACTGTCATCAAGTTGATTCCAACTCATAGAGACCCCCATTGGGTTTCCAAGCTTGTAAACCTTTATGGAAGCAGACCACCTCATCTTCTTCCACAGAGTGGCTGGTGGGTTCAAATCACTGACCTTTGGTTAGCAGCCAAATGCCTTAATCACTACACCACCAGAGTTCCCAGAGTTATAGGAGTATTTCTGGAGGAAGAACAGGAAGGTGGAATTGCTAAAGGAAGGGATGATGGAATGGAAGAGGAAAGGAGCAGTGAACAAGCCATTTGAACAAGAACCAAATGAAGGGCCAGACTGGGAGTAAGGGGATAAGGTGGTGAGGTATGGGAGGCAAGGAGGAAGCATTGCTTAATGAGACTCACAGCCATGACTCAGAAGCACTGATAGGGCTTTGAGCCATTGATGGAATTGCAATTCACCACTTTACAAGCCAAGGTCCCCATTCCAGATCTGCCTTTTCTTTCTCTGCATTCCCTCCATTGTATCAGTCACCTTTACATTTCCCACAGTCCTGAACGCAACACCCAGCACAAACTAGATGCCTTTCTCTAGAAAGTTTGGAACCAGAGGTAACTCAACCAAGATGGTGACCATCCCAGATAAATGCACTAAAAACTATATCTTATATAGACCCCTTGGGATATCATTAAAGATAGACATCTTGAAATAAAATTTTAACGATGTCCAAGAAAGAAGAGTAAGGTGCAGCACTATGTAGATCTCCTTGCCTCAAATGCAGAGCCCAAGGGGGCTTCCCAATTGTCCCTGCAAAGGTGAGACTATGTGTAATATCAAGCAATGCTTGATAATGGGCTTCCCCAGAGCACTTAATGCTTTCTAAATTCCTCCTGAGATAGTTCCGCCTTCTACTCCCTGCAGCTCATGAGGACAGAGCCCTCTCTGGCTGCTTCTGCTTGCTCTACTTTCTACCCAGCCTCTGGACTTCCCACAGTCAACTCATCTAGTCCTCACGCCCTCTTGGGGGCCATGTAGAATGGCTCATTCCTGCCTGTTCAACCTTCTGGCCCAGGCCCTGCTCCAGAACCTTCTCAGTACACTCATGGGAGAGCCTCCCCTCACCATTCCACCCTCCCACAGCCCTCACCCGTCCACATACCCTCCCCACATGCACATGCACATGCTCATGCAGGTGGGACCAAGGCTACGGTCCAAGGGCCCACGGAGGCAGGGAGCACAGTCTAAGGCTCAAGAGGATGATGGAAGATCTGAACACTCACCAAATGGAGGGTATCTGCTTTCTGTGTCTGCCTCTGCCGGCTCTTTTGGGCAGCAATGCGATTTTTCTCCCTTCTCTGAACTTTTCTCACATCATCCGACGAGTCCTGGGAAGCAGAAACCATGAGATTTGGATGAACTTGCTCCTCTCTTCTGCATGAAATCAGGATCTCATGGTGCTGGGTGTCCATCCATCCATCCACCCCCCTTCCATCCATCCATTTCCTCATCTCTACATCCACCCATTCACTCACACGTCCACCCACTATTTACCAAAAGCCTGCACCCAAATGAGAACTCTTCTCCACACCCTGTCATGCTTCCTCAGGTCTCTGTGAGTTTTTTTTTTTTTGCCAAAAGCTACAGGAAGAGAGTAAGAGAGACCTCTAGCCCTCATGGGGGCTGTATTTAGGTTAACATGGTTAAGGTGATGAAATGTATTTCACCTCCTCTCCTCCTCCTCCTCTGAGGCTGCTCCACCCTTATCCTCTCACTGCCTGGCCCAGAGCTTTCTTGATGTTTCTTTTATTATTCCCATTTTATATGTGAGGAAACTCAGGTTCAAAGAGCTTGCCCAAGAGCTCACAGTAATCTGGGAATTATATCTTCCAATGCTAAGTCAGGCACCCCTGAGTAAGCCAAGGTGCCCCCCTCACTAGGTGCCTCACTGGTTAGTACCTGTGCAGTCTTTTGCTGCATCTCTGGGCTGAGGTTCCCATCCCAGATCTGCCTTTTCTTTCTCTGCATTCCCTCCATTACATCAGTCACCTTTACATTCCCCACAGCCCTGAACACAACGCCCAGCACAAACTAGATGCCAAAGAGTGTGACTTTAGTGGTGGAGATCTCCTGGCTGTGGCAGGTGGTGCATGGGTGCTTGGGAGGATAAGGAGGCTTTCGGGTGTTTCTCTAGGTACACCCTATAGATGGGCATGTTCTCTGCCTAGGCAGAGAGGTTAGTTAGCTCCAACTTTCCCCTAGATTCTGTGTAGGCGTCTGAGTGAAAAACTCCTGCACCTTCCACCTCATTCCCTCTCACATCCCCATAAGCTAGTGGACTACGGTTCCCAGGGTGAGACCCGGTGCTCACAGCACAGTCTCACCAACACATCCAATACTCCAAGGCCATTGCGGTAGGAGGGCATGGGGTTAGATAGGAAGGAGGTACTCTTCCTCTGAGGGGCATGGGGAACCAGGTTACCACAGAAACCGTGAGTAATTTCCTTCCCAAGAATACAGACTTCCAGGCAGTCTGAGCCGCTCTGATACCATCTTGAGCTTAGGACTGGATTGCATGCCCTTCAGAGGTCCCGCCAGGATTGCTCCTGACCTGCAGCTCTTCTGTTAGATGTTTATGAGAGCTGCTACATTATATAGGATCCTCTTTTGGCTGCAGCATTTGGAAAGCCCTCCAATGATAAGGAGAGAATACAGTTTTCAAAGTGGTGAAGAAGACTTTAAGCCACTGATGAATTGGATGAGAAAGAGGAGGCCTTCTTATAGAGAGAGATGTTGAGGAGTCTGATGAAGAGAAAGCCCCAGAAGCTGGGAGCCAGGCAGGGTGACCCATTTTGGGGCAACCTTCAAGCTGAATATTCTTCATTTATATGTCACAATCTAAGCGACAAATGCTCCTAGAATCCCTACCTCACATTCTCTGGTTTCTCCAGGGCTGAGGTGAGCTACTTGTGAATATCACCAAGTCTCCAGAACCACCTTCTGATTTATTTCCTTGCTCGTGTCCAGAAGCTTCAGGGGAAGGAGGTATTGGCTGCGGTCCCAGCATCCCTCTTCCCTGCCTGTGCTAGCAAGAGGGCAGCACCTCACAGGTCGTTCTCTGCAAGGCTGGCTTCCTCCTCCTTCTTTCTTGTTCTTAATTTTTAACAAAACTTTCGATGGACCCCTTTTTGCTCTTGCCCTACTGTTTCTCCCCTGGGGAACCACCTGTTCAGGATTTGGGTTACACATGCCAGCATCCCAGCTTCGTGCTCCTCCTCACACTTTGCCCTGTGAGACCCTTTTTGTCTGAGAGACCAGAGGTCTTTTATGCTCTTGGCTTCCTAGAAAGCTTCATGGGGTAGGAACCACAGTGGGGTGGAGGTGATGGGCCACCAAAGGGATTTTGGCAAAATGGGCAGAAGGATGAGAGTCTCTGCCACTATGCACAGCTCAATTGCAAATACCACATCTTAAGTCTCACAGAGAGTTGGTGCCATGGGCCACTTCCTCACTCTCTGGATTCCTGGGCAGGACAAGGGAGCCGTGCCCTCTTCCTGCCCCCCAGGATAACCAGAGGGTAGGAGAGGGGGTAAGAGGAACACTACCTGTTTGCCAGGGGGAGGAGAGCGGCTGAAGCTGGAGTCGCTGCTGTCAGAGCTGTGAGGCATGGCTGAAATCTTCCGGGCTCTACCGCACAGCCCCAGACGCTTCTGGGCCCTCTTGTCACCAGCTGGCTTCCCTTCCTGATTGCCCCCTGGACCACCAGCCCACCAGTTCCACAGGTCTCTCCTCTGCCCGCCCTGCAGCTACCTGCGACCCCTGTGTCCTCCTCACTCTGGGGCGCAGAAGCACTGCCCCCCACAGTGACATGTCGCTAGCTTTGCGGCTTGCTTGCTCGCTCTCTCTCTTGTGGTTTCTGGTAACTTACGCTGGAAGTCACATGGGCGGAAATTTAAACAACTTAGAAGTTAACTTGAGAGAAAATACATATCTGGGAAAAGACCTACAGAATTATGTGAAAGAAAAAAAAAATACACAAAACCCTTCTGACAGTTTGAAAGGCAGAGCAGCTCTCTTCCATTGATGAAGATAAAAGAGAAAAACAGCTCAGGCAGGGAAAAACCCCAGCCAGAATTAGCAAGTCAGTCTTCTGTCAACAGGGGCAGAGAGGAGAGGACAAGTGGGAAAGAGTTTCCATTGCCACACGGCTCGGTTTTTATACCAAAATAAAGCAATAAGCCTAGGATTTCTTTCTGTTTTTCAATTGAAAGCAGCCTGCCTGTCTTGTCTTAGTCTGGGACTCCCTTACTCCCCTTACGGTCCAGTTCGCCTTGGGGTGGTCTTGGATCAAGTGGCCAAGGGCACTGTCTTTTCCAAAACACCAATGGGGAGAGGCATGTGGGGAAGCAGACCACGCAGGGGACACTCTGGAGTTGATGGTCTACGAGTACTCATCATGGTACCTCCTGGCAGGGCGCTCACACTCTCTCTCCAGAAAGGTGCCCTCTAGGCTGAGCGTGGAGTCCCTGGGTGACACAGTTAACACATTCAGCTGCTATCTGAAAGGTTAGAGGTTCGAACCTACTCAGATCTCCAGGCCTTTCTTCTGAGGCACCTCTATTTCTGGAAGGTGATAGCCTGAAAACACGATGGAGCACAGTTCTACCCTGACACATGTGCAGTCACCAGGAGTCAGAGTTGGCTTGATGGCAACTGGCACTGGTATGGTAAGGGTCTTTCAGAAGCTCAAGATTGGCCTTGAACTTTTAAGATTCTTGAATGTCACCAGGTCTGAGCCCAGAATGGAGAAACAATAAAAGCTGAGGAACAGGGGAAAAAAAAAAAAAAAAGCACTGTGCCTGGTGTCAGATCAACAGGATGTGAATCCTGACTTTACCACTTAGAATGTCTATGGCCGTGGACAACTCATTGGAGCTCTATGACCCTCTTGTTCTCATCTGTCAATGAGGAATGTAAAACCTGCCCTGCCTACCTCTCATACACATAGCAACTCCCAGCAACCCTACAGGACAGAGCCAAACAACCCCCCATAGAGTCTAAGGCCGGATCTTTACAGGGTTGCTAAGGGTAAGAACTGACAGCAATGGGTTTGGATTTTTTTTTTTTTTT